GGAAACCCAGGCTCTGGATTCGATCGAACCCAGGCTGCCTGGGTTTTGAACAAACCCAGAGCTTGGGTTCGATCGAACCCAAGACGCCTGGGAAACCCAAAGCCTAGGTTCGATCGAACCCAAGACGCCTGGGAAACCCAGGCTCTGGGTTTGATCGAACCCAGGCTCTGGGTTTCGAATGAACCCAGTGCCTGGTTCCATCAAGACCTAAGCCCTGGGTTCCATCAAGACCCAAGCCCTGGGTTCCAAGGAACCTAGGCGTGGAACCCAAGTGTGGAACCCATGAAGCCTCGGTTCGAAGGAACCCAGTAGGCGTTGGGTTGCAATGGGAAAAGAAAGGAAAAGAGAAGAAAAAAGAAAAGGAAATAATTTTTTAAGTTTTTTGATATATTATTTTTTTTCATGTCATCATTTTTTTATCATGTTGTCATTTTTTTTTTCAGGTATGCATCTGATGTGTCAAGTTATTTGGACATGTCATCATGCTCCAGTTAATTAACGGGAAATGTCACTGGATTTTTAACGGAGGGACTAAATCGGAGTCAAAATGGTAAATAGTAGGGACCAAATCAGGAATTTTTTTAGTTGAGGGACTAAGTTGGGGTTCTGTACGATAGTTGAGGGACCAAAATAGGGGTTTAACCTTTTGTGGCAAGTACTTTTCTCTTAATTTTGCTTTCATCTCCAGCCAATTAGCAATGGGTGGTTGTCCTAATCGGGCTAAATCACTTTCAACACCCTGCCACCATATTTTGGCTAGTCCCACAAGTTTCATCTTAGCAAGCCTAACTCTATGAAGATCTCCCATGTCATACCAGTTAAAATATTCCTCCAGAGAATTAATCCAATCAAAAAACACAATAGGATCGACTTTCCCTTCAAAATCAAGGACTTCAATCTTGATTTTCTTAGTAATATCACCAGCTGTATCTTGTATTCCCTTCTGTCCTCCCTCATCTCTTGCCGTCACTATTGTTAGTTCAAGGGTTTGTGCAGGCCTTGTGTCTTGCTCATTAAGGATGGTTTCTTTGAAGGTTTCAACTTGGAGTCTAGTTTCCTAGTTAGTGTCTCTTCTACTGAATTCATGTATTCAACCCACTGCTTAAACGCAGATTTGATCACTTCCCAATCTCTTTCCAAAACTGTAACTCTAGCATTTAACTCAGCATTTGTCACCATGATTGAGAAAAAAACTCAACAATAAAGTTGTAGGATCCTTTGCTTTGATACCAACTAATGAGGGATAGGTTAGGGGGTATGGTGAGCTTGGGGATTTAGAGGCTATTTGGGCAAATATATGCTGTGAATAGTATGCGTGAACAGTAAAATATGGTCTGTTTAGGATAGAAAAGAGGAGAAATAAAAAATAAACAATGAGAATGATAGAAAAGACTAGGAGTCACACCTAGTTTCTTTAGGCATCACATCTAAATAGGATAAAACATTTAAGCGTCACACCCAAGGCTAGTTGCATCACACAATCAAGAGCAAAACTTATTAGAAAATTATGAATATTATTAATTATATAATGAAAGAAACTACATGCATATTTATATAGAAACTACTATGACTCCTACTACAACTCCTATTCTAATTAGTTTATAACTTAAAATTTAAATTTTCTAATTTAACTAGAACTTAAGATTTTTTGATAAAAGACCCAATCCTAATAAAAGTAGGAAAACTAATGATGACTACACTTAATAAAAATAATTACTTAAGAATTCTAAATAATCTAAATAACTATCGAATAGCTTCTTCTTGTTCCCCATCACCTTTTTAAAAGAATATGTTGTAAAAGTCTCTTTTTTAAAAAAGTAAAGATGTTTGGTAAAAAAAAATTTTGATGAACTTTTAGAGTGTAAAGTTGTTTAGTAAATTTTTTTGATAAATTTTTTTAATAAAAAATCTTTTGATTTTAAAATGACTGAAAATGACATTTTATTTTAAAAAGCATTGTTTCTCCCCTTTTTCTTTACTAAAACATCACCTCCACTTCATATTTTATTTTATATTTT